CATTCTTCAATACAATAAAGGCTGTATATGACAAACCTACAGCCAGCATTGTACTCAATGGTCAAAAAAAAAGTCATTTCCTCTTAACTCAGGAACAAGACAAGGATGTCCACTCTCTCCACTGCTCTTCAATCTAGTATTAGAATGCCTAGCTACAGCAATAAGACAAGATGCAGACATAAAGGGAATCCAAATAGGGAAAGAAGAAATAAAACTCTCCCTCTTTGCAGATGACATGATCTTGTATTTAAAGAATCCCAGGGACTCCACTCCCAAATTATTCAAGGTGAGTCAAAATTGGGCAAAGTAGTAGGGTATAAAATGAACACTCAAAAATCAATGGCTTTTCTGTATGCCAACAATGAGAAAAGTGTGGCTGAAATTAGGAAAGCAACTCCATTTGTACTAACCCCACAAAAAATACATAGAAATAAACTTAACCAAAGAAGTGAATGACCTCTATGATGAAAAGTTTAAAAACTTGAACAAGAAAATCAAAACAGAACTTAGAAAGTGGCAAAAGCTCCCATGCTCCTGGATTGGAAAGATCAACATCGTGAAAATGGCAATACTTCCCAATTCAATGCAATACTTATCAATATTCCAACCTCATTCTTCAAGGAAATAGAAGAGGCAATCCAAAAATTCATATGGAACAATAAAAGACCCCAAATAGCAAAAATGATCCTCTACAGAAAGAACACTGATGGAGGAATATCAATACAAAATTTCAAACTTTACTACATAGCCATAGAATCAAAACAGCTTGTTACTGGCACAAGAACAGACCTCAGGACCAATGGAATAGAATTGAAAACCCAGAAATGAACCTACAAACTTAGAGCCATCTAATCTTCAAAAAGGGAGCTAAAAAGAATAGAATGGAAGAAAGACAGCCTCTTCAGTGAATGGTGCTGGCAAAATTTGTAACTACTGGTAGAAAATGAAACCTAGAACCTTATATATCACCCTTCACCAGAATCAACTCCTAATTCATCAAAGACCTCAGAGTCAAAGCAGACACTCTGAAAACATTACAGGATGGAAAAGGAGAAACCCTAAGTCTTGTTGGCACAGGCCGAAATTTTCTTAATAGAGACACAGAAACACAACAAATCAAAGAAAGGTTGGACAAATGGGATTGCCTGAAATTGCAGAGCTTCTGCATGGCAAAGGAACATAGCTAGCAAGATCAATAGAAAGCCCACAGAATGGTAGAAGATCTTCACTAGCCAGACAACAGACAAGGGTCTCATATCTAAAATATACCTGGAACTCAAAAAATTAAATAACCCAACAACAAATCTTCAAAGAAACATCTGCCCAATAAATAAGTGGGCTAAAGACTTAAAGAGAAATTTCTCTGAAGAGGAAAGAAGGATGGACAAGACACATGAAGAAATGCTCCACCTCCCTAGCTATGAAAGAAATGCAAATCAAAACTACATTGAGATACCACTTCACTCCAGTTAGAATGGCTATGATCAAGAACTTTAATAACAACAGATGCGGGCGGGGATGTGTACAGAGGGGAACCTTACTGCATTGTTGGTGGGAGTGTAAACTTGTTCAGCCACTTTGGAAAGCAGTATGGAGGTTCCTCAAAAGACTCCACATAGAGCTCCCCTATGACCCAGCAATCCCACTTTTGGGCATTTACCAAGATGATTACAAACAAGGCCACACTAAAGCTACCAGCAAGACTATGTTTATAGCATCATTATTTACCATAACTTAGATATGGAACTAACCCAGATGCCCCTCAGTAGATGAATGGATCAAGAAAATGTGGTATATATACAAAATAGAATTCTGTGCCTCCATCAGAAAGAATGATGTTGCCCAATTTGTTAGGAAATGGAAAGAGTTGTGAAAAATTATATTAAGTGATGTAAGTCAGGCCCAAAGAAACTTAGGTCTCATGGTTTCCCTTATTTGCAATAACTAGCATATGTCTGAGCCAAGCAGAAAAGGTCAGATTAATTGATGTTTGGGAAATGAACCCTAAGATATGTACTCAAATGTTTTTCTTTCAGGTGATTGTTTCTAA